CCGCTGATGCCCTGCGGCCGCCGCTGAGACCCCGACCGGCCCGGCCCGCGGAGGGAGAGGCGCCGCCACCAGCGCCGCAGGATGGCGGGGAGGGCGGCCGCCGCGGGCACCACGGTCCTGCTGATCACGGCCAACGTGGGCTCGCTCTTCGACGACGTAAGTGCCGCCGTCGGGCCGGACCCCAGCCCCGGGACCCCGGGACCCCGGAACCCTGCTCCTTCTCTCTCCGGCCCGGCCCCTCTGAGTTCCCATCGCCCGCGAGGGTTGTACCCCGAGACCCCACAGCCCTGCTGCCCGGAGCCCCAGCGTCGCAGACCCAGGCCCCGGCCCGGAGCCCCAAAGCCTGGCACCCCGACTGCAGAGCTGCGGTGCCCGGACACTGGCCCTTAGAACCCTCGTGCCGAAGACCCCAAGCCCCGGAGCCCTGGTCCCCACACCTCGGGAACCAGCACCCTAAAGACCCTAGACTCCAGAAGGCCCGCCCCTCAGATCCCCGAAGCGCTGGTCAGTACCCACTAGGACCCTGGACACCAGCCTGAACCCTCGAGCGGGAATCTCGAGCCTTGACCCCCACTCTGAACTCTGATGCCCCAAACACCAGCCCTTCAGAACTCTGACCCAGAACTGAAGTCTGGAGGAGATGCTGCCCCTGAATCCCAGATCCCCAAGGCCCCAAACTCCAGACGTCCATTCTGAACTCTTGGCCTGGCCTCGGCTCTGAATACCCATCCCAGACCATGATCCTGGACTGTGTAGCCCTGAGCCACGGCCCCCGCACACTGACCCTGGGTCCTAGAGTGTGTGTGTGTCCCTAACTAGCCCCTGGACCCCAAGCCAGGAAGGCCCTGGAACTCTGGACCCCATCCTTGCCCTTGGACCTGGTGCAGGACCCTGTCCTCCCACCTGCACCTGCCCAGGTACCTGCTTCCCTCGCTCCCCTCCCCCAGCTCGGTCACCTGCTTCCAGGAGCATGGCCCCAGGGGTCCGCCTGGTAACTGGGTCTCTTCAGTTCCAGATAAGAGAAGGCGGGCCGTAGTTACTGATTATAGAAAAAGTCAGAAACTCCAAACCTGTTTGGGGGAGTGCTGACTACCCAAGGCCTCTCCCTCCTAACCCCAGATGACACCCAGGAAGGCAACCCACAGGGGTCTCCAAGCTGTCTGGAGGCTGCAGAGGCCCGGCTCCCCAGAAGCAGGCCAGCTGACCTAGTTGAGCGCCTGGTGCCGCCCTCTGTGTTACTTGAACAGCCAGAGCAAGTGAGGTTCCCGACAGTGCTGTGGGAAGAGCAGCAGGCCGTCAGTCCCTCGTCCTGTCCCTCATCCCGCAGTCATCCCTCCCTCTTTCCTCAGGTCTGGCAGCCCCTTCCCCACCTCAGAGGTGAGCCCTGGAGGGCAGCCAGCCTGAGGATGTGTGCATCCTGTGTGGGGAGAGTGACATTTCAGGAGAAGGACCTATTTCTGGCTCAGTTCTCTGCCTTCAGGGAGCAGGTCAAAGAGTGTCTCTGTGCGGAGTTTGTGCACAGACTAAATTTGATTTTTCTCACTAAGAGTAGAAGCCACCTTTGTCACCCCCCTGGTCTGGCGTCCAGGAGGCCCGCTCTGCACCTGGTAGAGGTGAACCGCTTGCTCTCTTGAAAGTTCACTCTTTGTTCTGGATACTTGATGCAGTTTGATCATTTTCTACAAAAGTTCCTGCCCTGGGTGTGTGTCTGTATATTTAGCATTCTATTCTCGGCTTTCCAGTAACATGTCACTGTAACAGGGTTTTGCTCAGATGATTCAGATCCGCTTGCTGTGGCTTCAAAACCTCAGAAATGTCAGGAAAATTAAGCATGGGGGGGCATTGTATTCTCACAGGAAAAAGAATTTTGCTGTGCATTCTTCCCAGTAATCTTGACTCTGAGTTCTAGGGTTTTTGCTATGTTTTAACTGTGCACGTACGTTTATTTTTGTTGACATAAATAGACCTAATTTCATTTACCTTTATTTAGCAACATTTTTCCTCTGAAATTTCATTTTTCGTAATTGTTATGTGACAGTTTGCATGCATCTGACTTTTGACAGGAGCCTTTGTTTTTATAATAGAGCAGAGAGTAATTCTTCTAGTCTTCAAGGACTGGTGTGGTGTGGAGAACCTGTGTGGGGACCCAAGTGGCCGAGGGCCGCCACCCTTTCTTGTGACCTGGTGGAGCTAGGTGTTGAACAAGGAGGCTTGGGCTGTCTCCAGCCCCACGCTCACTCTGAGAATGGAGCCCAGCAGAGACACACCACCTGTGGGCAGTGGCACTCTGGCTTTGGCTGTCAGAGCTGAGGGCGGTGGCTTCGTCGTCTGCATGGTGAGCGCTGGGCTGATGACAGCTGCTGAGGCCTGGACGGATCTCTCCCCCGTTAGCCAGCACACTAGCCTTGTAACTGTGCATTTCACATCCTGAACAGAGTTAAGATTCTGAGGAAGCCAGTGTTTGAGCTTGAAACAAACAAACCAAGCTGTGAATGACACTGTTTGCAATGGGAATTCCACTTTTGCTTTCTTAGTTTTGCATCTTCTCTCATAGCTGCCCTTGCTCTGCACGGGGCGTCTGCCTGCCACCCGGACCCATGGCGTGCCGGTTTGGCATGGTGCCTTCCCTCTTTCCGACTTCTGACTGTGCTGTGTCCCGGTACCGCACCGTGCTTTACTTAGCTGTCCCCGTGCAGCGCCTCAGCCTGCTTCTAATCCTCCAGACCCAGACACTGCCTGTTCTAGCACAGCGTGCGCCCTGTTCCTCAGCATTGTGCGCTCTATGTAGGTTATGAAGGCCCTGGGCGTGCAGACGGTTAACTGAAAAGAGGGAAGGCTTGCTGACCTACTTCTGAAAACCCGTCCTGACCCCCATGACGCAGAGTGTTGCCCTGAAACAGGGATGGGGGTGTCGCTGTGAGGGCTACCACACGCTCCCCTGACACATGGGTTGGGGGTGTCACTGTGAATAGTACCCCACAGAGCAGAACTCTGCCCTGGCACATGGGTGGAGGGATGTTGCTTTGAGGAGCACCTCACTCTGCCCTGAAACAGGGATGGGGGTGTCGCTGTGAGGAGCACCCCGTGAAGCAGAGCTCTGCCCTGGCACATGGAGGGGGAAGGGGTGTCTCTGGGAGTTAGGGTCTACTAGAATGCAGGGTATAATTATGAGCGTTAACTTACCATGTCACAAGTGAGAACTCAGAGTTTTAAGCCCTAGGAACGAAGAGGCACTCATCATTGTCAGTTATTTGAATGATGACATCACATGTCACAGCATCTGCCACCTGATGGTGACTTTATCACTCACACGGGACACCTTGCCAGTCCAGTGTGATGTCATAATTCACAGGACTCACATCCCAGTGATGCCATTATCCTTCATGGGACCTCCTGCCATCCAGTGATGGTGCCAGCCCTCACAGAACCCTTAGATGATGATGTCACAGGATGCAACCCCTGCCATTGGATGTCATCACTAGCAGGAACCCCTGCCATCTGAGTGATGATGTTATCACTCACTAGGATCCTTTGCTGTCAGAGTAGTGCCACCATTGCTCTGCTGCCCTCTGGGAATCTCCATACCCCCTGGCAGGACCAAGGAGATACGAGAGGTGATGACAGCTTTGTGAAGGGTTCTGAGGCCCTGTGAAGGCACTTGGCCCCTGAGGTGCTCTGCTTGTGTGCCTGACCCTTTGTGGGCCTGTGTGAGTGCTCCCCTTGGCTGCTGTATGTGGGTGTTCCTGTCCTATTGGGAACGCCATGTTGCCCTCAGGAGGCTGTGTGGCACTGCAGGTGGCCCTTGTGGGCTCTCAGGTCAGCCCTGTGCTGGCCTTTGCTTGGAAGGGTGTGGCCAGGGCTGCTGACTTGCTGGGACACAGGCCCTGCTCTGGGGGACGCTGGCTGGGTGCTCTGGGTTTCTGTTACGTGTGAGGCTGTGGTTTTGGGCATGGCGCATGCTCGCACCCTTACATGGTCAGACTGTCCTCAGGGAGAGGACTCTGGGCGTGTGCCTCAGGCCATTGTCCTGCCCTTTCCCAGAGCGGAATACCGTGTGCTGACTGCCCTCTGCTTGGGCCACCCCTGAGCAGGCCTCTTTGTAGACGGGAAGCCCTGTGTGGGACTGTAGTAGGCTCAGCAGGGGAGACAGTCTGGTGCACATGGCAACTGGCTGGAAGGGTTAGTGTCTTTGCTCCTAGGGACCGGGAGGAGGTGAGGGGTGTGCCAGCTGGCAGGGGCTATGTGCCCCCGCTGGGGAGGGGAGCCCTGGTTCTCTTGTCCCTGCACCTGTCCGGCTGCCACTCTTCGCTCTTCCTGGCACACACCTAGAAGGAGTCTCCATCTCTGTCTCCAGTCCTTTCTCCAGCACTGACCACATTCGACCCCTGCTGTGTATCCTTTGGGGGACCACCCTGCTGTCACGCCAGTAGGCAGCTGAGAGCCAGGCCCCTCGACTTCTTCAAAGACAGCAGGGTGTTGCCCGAACCACGTTTGTCCACTTCTCTCACCTGAGGGCTCTGGGCTGCCTCCTCTTGATCTCGTTACCCACTGTGGACACTTGTCACCACAGCTTCTGGGCCACTCCTGGTTTGCAGCCCAGCAGCTGGAACTCAGGGCCCTGTTCCCCAGCCCCCCACCTATGTCTAAAGACTTTTCTATGGTTCCTGGGCACCCCGTGCTCGTCCCCGACACCTTCCAACAACACGTGCACCCAACGTATGGACTCAAGGCCCTTCTCTGTCCACCAGGCCTTGTCCCCTGTGCTAGATGGGGGCCAAGTCTCTCCCACGGCCTCACTGGGTCCACCAGCCTCATTCTGGCACAGCTGTCTCATCTCTGCATCCCCTCCTCTGACGTGGGATCTCCCCATCTTCCCTGAGAGAATACTCCATTGGCCCGAGTTTAGAAAATCCTGCTCATAGAATAGGGACCCACCATCTGACAGGGTGGTGATTAAATGAAGTGCTCTGACCTCATTACCCTCCTAACCCAAGAAGGCATGTAGCACCCGCTTTGGGGACAGCGTGTGCCCAGGACTGGCTATCCTGGCAGCGTCCTCAGTCTTGACTCTCTTTTCAACCTTGACTCTTGACAGCCAGCTTCTGCCTCTGCCTGAGATGTCACCTTGTGACTGTCTTGAAGGCTCCGTGGAATTT